AATCCTAGGTGCGGAGAATCATCATCCACAACCCTTTTAGTTCGGGCGCCACTTGTAAAGTCATTAGGTTTATTGGAAGCAGAAAAGAGGAAATATATGCAACCGCCTTCGCCGGGAATCGAACCACGGACCTCTGGAATACCGGCCCAGCGTGCTACCGTTACACCACAAAGACACGCTAGGGAAGTGGGAGAAATACCTTATAACTTGAATGTTAATTATGAAAAAAAAAATGTTTTACGAGGACTTGAGTTTAAATCATGAGTAACAAAATTTCGAACTTTGAATATATATATATTTGTAATAATAAAATTCCATAGTCAAGAATACACTTAAAACTCTAACTGTATGTTCTTTTCCTTTTTAATGGCGACGGTCTCTTATTTGAAAGTACGTGGAATTAAATCCACAGCCCCGTAGTCAAGTTGTTTTTCCTGCCTTTTCTACACGAGCAGTTATAGACTGTTGTGGAGATATTTAACGCGAACTGGAATGGCTGACTAGGCTGACGTCATTTCTTGGAAGCTCCGCCTTTCCAGAGGCTATAAAAGGACTCGCAAAAGAATATCGGGGCTTTTTCTTTAATGTCACGATGCAGTAAACTTCATACAAAAAGTTATTAGTAATTCTTTTTTATTTACTCCGGATATCTGATTTTGTAACTGCTATTTTCTCCCGAAATATAATAAATGGATCCTGTTTTTTAAACTTATCGTCTGATAATTTAACCTACTACAAAAGCTGGTACATCACACACACACACACACACACACACATATATATATATATATATTTCAAAATAAAAATCTGAAGGGGTTCAGATTTTAACGATCACCCAAAAGGGCGCTTTCAAAGTATAATATATTTTACCAGTAGAGATTATTGACAGAGATGGCTAACATTTTATAGTATACTAGCGGGCAAGCCTACCAAATGAGCGAACTGCACCCAAAAGGAAATTTTAAATTCCATGCTTTTACCCTTCAAAAGCAAATGTACGCATGAAAAGCAAAAGTTTTCACCCATGAAAAAATGTATGAAAACATTTCCGTTTGAAAGAAATTATTTCATTCTTTCCAAGCAAAAACAAAGTCGTAAAGAATTTTTTTATTGCCAAACCAGGAAACATAGAATTTTGACACTTCAGGTTAATACGTATGACGTCATGATTCAAATTTAATGTAATACAATAACCTTTTCCTCAGTATTACAAGGTATTTTTCCCGCCATCGTCGTGTGGTGGTCTGCACGCTGTGTGCGTATTGCAGAGGTCCGTGGTTCAATTCCCGACAAGGGCGTTGCTCATTTTCCACTTCTTCCGGTTTCGAAAAATTCTAATGTCTCTACAGTGGCGCCCGAACTAAAAAAAAGGTGGTGGATGACGATTCTCCTCCACTAGGATTTGGCAATTGGGTCCCCTAATCCCCAGTCGCCCTTTAAAATTGAGACTCTGGAAGGTAGTTCTACAACCTTCTTAACGTGCCTTCGTGGTGTAGTGGTCTGCATGCTCGGCTCGTATTCGAAAAGGTCCGTGGTTCGATTCCCGGCGAGTACATTTCAAGTGTCCTGCTCCCAAAAATCCTAATGTCTCTACAGTGGCGCCCTAAGTAAAAGGGTAGTGGATGATGATTCTCCACACCCAGGTTTTGGCGAATTGGGTCCCCCAAAAAACCCCAGTCGCCGTTTAAAAGGGGGAGTATATAAGGTATTTCTCCCGCCTTCTTAGCATATCTTCGTAGTAAAAGTGGTCTACACGCTGGGCGCATATTGTAGAGGTACGTGGTTCGATTCCCAGTGAGGGCGTTTCTCATTTTTCACTTCTTCCTGTTTCAGAAATTCCTAATGTCTCTACAATAGCAATAAAAGAGTTAACGTGGCAGCAATATGTCGTGTCTATTACATTAACTTGAAACAAAAAAGTTGCCAACAGCAGGTATTAATTTAAAATGCTGATATTAACAAAACATTTTCGACATGCAGTGACGTCACATGCTCTTTTTTTTTTTTTTTTTTTTTTTTTTTCCTACAAGAATATGCCCTTATATTCTAATAATACGTTTAATGTTTAGCAGTGCGGCATTTTATTTCATAATTTGTAAAACTTACAAATTTTTTATTAACGAACTCTACGATTTGATGGCGAGCGGTAGCAACTCTTTTTGAAATAAAGCAGATTTTTATTTCCAGCGTACGAGTTGCCACTCGGAGAAACGAGGGCAAAAATTAGCATTTTTTTTTTTTTTTTAATTTTTATTAGTATCTTCGCGAATTAAAGTCGTACGAAGATGAGATTGGTCGAAATGGCTTCCCACGAATTTTAGGGCTACCTCTCTCGAAATTAACTCCCTGCCATTCCGAAGGAAATAATGCCCCAAACAAACAGTATTTTAACAGTGTGTAATAGATAACTGAGGTTCTAGACTGTATATTTAAAAGGTGAAAAACATGTTACGTAATGGTATAAAAATATTTAATGTTTTTAATTAAGTATATCATGAATTAAATGCATTTTTTGTTAAATCAGTCAGATTAAACGATAAAAATTCTTAAGAACTGCATCTATTGGTCTTCTACACTTTATTTTGTTAATTAATAATAATAGTCTATTTTACATATTTAAGTTTTTACATCAAAACCTCGAAGGCTATCAGCCTAAGGTGTGAGATGCCTTCATGGAGGAATTCTTCAGGGAAACTTACTAATATACACGTTACAGATGGGGGAAACCACGAAATCGTCCGTGCAGCTATCCCGTTTGCGGGATTCGAACCTCGGATCGAACTACCAGTATTCAGCAACTTTATACCGCATGGAAGCTGGAGGGATTTGTTAATTATTAATAGACAGATTAAATATGAAGTAAAATGGTATTTTACCTTTTTTTCTGAAAGACAGCAGACGCTAATGAAAATTGAAACAACGCAAAGTCGCGTTTGTTTTGGTTTTATTTAATTATGGCAAAGCACACTAGGGCTATCTGCCTAAGGGTAGGAATGCCTTCGTGGAGGACTTTCTAACGGAAACTGGCTCAAATACCCGTTACACATGAGGAAAACCACGAAAACGCCCATGCAGCCAGCCCTTTCGCGGGATTCGAAAATCGCGTTTGGAGACTAACAGTTCGTTTGGGTTAATATTTTCAATAAAATCTGAGGAAAGATCTATAAACGTAAAATGTAACTAACTCTCTTATATAGTCTTCAAAATTTCCATTCAGTAAAATAGTCATCAGGCCTTAATTAATTAAATAAAATATTCTAATTAAGACACAATAACACGCCGAATAAATACTAATTCAGAAGTCAAACAACAAAAATCAGCGTTATATTTTTAGAATTTTCGCAGAACTAGTTTCGATGGTTTTACCGAACCACCATCCTCAGCTGCGAAATATTTAAAAATATAACGCTGATTTTTGTTGTTTGACTTCTGAATTAGTAAAATGTTCTATACTTCTATTAGGAAAATTCAAGATAATATTTAGTAGCAAAAAATTCTTGAACTGAGACACAGTTTTTCAGTGCATTATGTCAAATGACTGCAGTGAAGGTTTTTAAAAACAGACTGCTGTAGATTAAAAAAAAAATTATAACGGATTTTATCTTTAGTAAAATCATAGATATTATTAACAACATTGTATCTGGGATCTTTAAAAGTATTTATTAAGCTTACCTCTGTAATTTTGAAGCTGCAAGCATGCACGTTGTTATTAACTAAGAATAATGAACATTTTAATGATTTAAACTTTTGTTTTATGGAAGTCATATAAAAGATTGAGTTTTATTGGAAATCCTCTAACATCGATGCTCCAAACAATTTTCATAACATTTGGTTCATTATGCTCCAGTTAAATTTTTAAAAAATTCTATCCTTTGAGAAAAATTATCGCGATTATAAATAATTATTATTTTTGTGGTTTTTAGAGAAGGTTGATCTCTAAATCTCTTCCTTTCGTTAAGGTCTTCCTTTCATAGTCAGAGAAATAAAACGTTTTTTTGTGAGTATATCAAATCACAGACTTGACAAAATTATAACTTCTCCCTTTTTTATTTGACTATAAAAAGAGAAAATTAACACAGTATATTAAATTTGAGCGTGCATTATCCAGAAATAGAAACAGATTCTTTTCCCCGCTCTCTTTATACTTTTAACAATTTATCATGAGTTAACATATTCCCAAGGAACGAGAAATCCATCGATATATAAGAATCAAAATGTCTATTTATAACGCAAATGAAGGTTTAGTATTTCTCTTTTACGTGTCGAGTTTCAAATTTAATTTAAAATTTCGCTTCTACGAGGTATCATATGAATTAGGAGAATCGGAGATACTTGTTTTCTCTTTCTCGTTAAGAGAGTTTCTTTGAAAAGTATGATTCTATCTTTGCTTCTTAAATAAAATTTAGATTTAACTCTTAGAAATGAAAAAAAATCTACTGTAAAATATTAATTTTAGTTTTCCTCTTCTTCCTACTGTCAGTTAATGTAAATAAAAAGGTAATTTAATTTAAACATTGAGAAGATATACAGTTTCGTGAGTTTTTATATTTAGATACATTGGAGTCCTGTACTCGATGTGGGAGAATTAAAAAACAAGAACTGATTTGAAACTCAGTATCTGGCAATACTGAGCATTGCAAAACAAGTACATCTCTATATAAATTATATTAGAACCATTTCTGTTACTTCTTATGGTAATTTGCTTCCGAGGGTAAGAAACAAAACTGCATTTTTTACGTATCAATATTTGCAGAAATAAGAGTTCAACTCACTCAGTGGATCGGGAGTCAATTTAGTTATTATTACAGATCACTGAATGAAATATGATCAAATTTACATTCTTGCAGCAAAAGATGTTTTAGATTTTCGCACTGTTTATCAAACTATAAATTAACTAAAACATAACGGCAATACTACTGTGTATACCAAGCATTATCCATTGCTTAATAAACACAACGTCATGTATATATATTTTTTTAATATAATCTAATATATTTTAGGTCATCACTTGCAACAGGAACATCTACACGTTACAAATCACAGACACAACGGGGAGTCATCAATTCCCCGCCATGCAAAGGTTAAACATCAGCAAGGGCCATGCCTTCATCCTGGTATACGCTATCACCAGCAAGCAAAGCTTGGAGGAGTTAACTCCTATTTATTCCCTCATAAGAGAAGTTAAGGTAAGAAAATATTTATATCAGTACATCATTCGGAAACTTTCCTTTTACTGAATGCAACGTAACTGCGATGCTTTCTTAAACTTGAATTTTAGTCCTCTACGTCAAAGGTCTCTACGAATTTAGTCAGTCTTTTGAAAGTTTATCAGGACTTTTGTTTCTCTTAACTTGCTTTGGAAACATGAACTGTCCTGACTCGGAACAGGGAGCTTACTCAAGCTATGTTCAATAAATTGTGAAGTAGACAATACACACAGGAAGGGTATACGAAACCCTTTATTTTTCTATCTTTACAGATCTTTCCGGAACTTCGGAATACAGAGACCAACCACTTGTGGTCTGAACGTAAGAATATAAAACTACTAACTAAAACTGTAACTAAAAAACTAACTTTGAATTAGGTATACAAGTGCCTAGCATTAAGATTGGCCGTTATTTAACAAAGACCGTATGTAGTACGCCGAGCTGCTAAAACTACGATACGTTTGAAATTATCAAGAGGACTAAACCTCTGGCCTTGAAGGCACAGTAACCGAGTGAAAACTCGTAAAACGACAATGGCAAGCGGCCTGCTTCCAATAACTACTTCCTCTCTCTTGCTTGGCAAAAAGCCACAACTTAAGTACTTGGCGTTAGCAAGATAATTTGCATAAATAAGTTAAAGCGTTTAATTCTGGCCGGAAGTAGAAAATAAGAAGTGATAGTAAAGATTTAAAATAAAATAAACGTTAGTAAAACTTAGGATCCTTACAAGGTAAAAAAGTTCAAACGTGTAATTCCTTCTGGTGAACACAAATGGGTTCAACTGAACAATGATGCATCACGGACCATAAGATCATAGTGAGATGCATTTGTACAGCAAATGCATCTCACTGTGAAAGCAAATGAAAACTGAAACAAATTTGGAATTTCATTTATCCGCAGCTGGTTAATTATCCTACTTGAAGCAAAGGTAGCAAATCTGTAACAAAATACACTAATGTTTGTGAAAAATGCAACACCATGTAGGAATTATCGGAAATGAATGAAATTTATTCCACACATTGCTGACAGTAATATAAATAAATAACCTAATTTACAAGACCCCCCCCCCCCCGCAAAACAAAAGGAACGTCGGAAATCAGTACTTAGTTTTTCCGCCACGCTCAGCGATGAGAGTCTATACAAGGCCTGTCACTGAATCATACGGATTCTGAATGCACTCTTGGGTATGGCAATCCATACGGTTTCGACCATACGGGCAATCCATACTGTCATACGGTTTTGGCGTCAAAGTCGCTAGTCTTAGTGAGCGCCCTACGACTAGCGGGTCGCCCATCGATGAAATCCCAGAGGTTATTTTAAGCTGGAGATGGGAAAATCATGCAATGCCATCTCCGGGACTCGAACCTGTATCTCTCAAATACACGCCAAGTGTGCTACCATACACCACGAAAGCATGCCGAATGGATAGAGGAAAATCCCCTTTTTAAAGAGCGACTGGGGATTAGGGGATCCATTTGCCAAATCCTGGTGTTGAAGAACCATCATCCACCACCTCTTAGTTCGGGGTGAAAAATAAGGAGTGTTTTCGTAGGACCTAGAACCTGGACCTCTCGAATATGCACCAAGTGTGCTAAGCGTTACTTCACGAAGGCATGCAGAAAGCAGAGAGAAAATAAGTATTTTACAGGAAATTTCTCTTAAGGAAGTGCGATAAAGCGGGAAGATTGACTCCCGTCAAACACAACTGAACTATTTCAAATAACTTTAACGTGATTCCTATCCAAATCAGACAGCATATGCGTACGGTTTTGAGTAATAGTAACAGGAACATTTGCTATTTTCCTGCTACATAACTTCTATCAAATATCGATATCTCAGACTTTAGGGTCGAATCCGTAAATGCTTTAAGTTCCAGGATTAGATGGTGATTAATTAATGTTGGAAGCCAGACAGGTGATTAGGAGAAATAATGACTCCCCAGAATATGAGCGATTAATATTTGCGATGGATAACGAAATGAATAACTTAAACAGAGCGGAATAATTCGAGTCACCTCAGATTTATGCTGAGTGTATTTATTTAACATGCTTTGAATGCATTAACTTAAAATAATCGGTGTTGCACTTAAGCTGCTATTACAGTGTAAAGCACTTTCGAATTTATATTCTATTCATGGCTAAAATTATGTACGGCTTTTTGAAATTTTCAACAGCTTTGCAAATTTATGTAATACGTTTAATTCATTGAAAACTGTTAAAGAATGAGCACTAAAAATTGATCTAGCATGGATGATTTTCCAAGCCTAAATTTTGGTTTTTGAATATGACTTAGCTGTGTCATGTAGCAGTAAAAAACTAATTTACTAATGTTCTACAAAACGTTATTCAGTATGGAAAACTTCACCAGCGTCATATTTTCTGGCTAAATTTTCCCGGATTTTAAGGGGGTTCGTATACCTTAAATCCCTTATGATCTTCGAAAATGGACCGTTGCAAGATTTGGGATATTTTATTTATTTTAAAAATTACTTCTAACTTTTTACAGCTGAGTACATAATATAGTTGCTTTAGAAACTAGTAACCAGAAGGTTTGTGTTGCCACAAATATTTTTGTAATTTAATCCGCTTTGTGACAAAAGTTTTAGTCATGTTTCCACCTTGCGCGAACGATATTTTAAAAATGGCTAATGGTACATACTTGAAATTGGATGGAAGTCTTTATATGAACACTATTTTCTAATTGAATCAAAAATCTGATGAATATTTTAAAATTAAAAAATTTTATGCACGAAAACATTACAGATTTTTTTAGATAAAATACATTTTGTAAATTCAAATCCAAATAAAATAAACATTAAACATGAAATTCTTAGAATTTTGGGTTCGCAGTCGTTTCCAAATGTTATAAAAGCTATATATTAAATATGAAATTAAATTACGCAACAGAATGTTTTATACTGTGCGCGGAAAGTGGAAACATTTTGTCACAAAGCGGATTAAATTATAAAAATGTTTGTGGCAACACAAACTTTCTGATGACTATTTCAGAAAGCAGCCATATTATGTAGTCAGCTGAAAAATGTTGGAAGCAATTTCTTTTAAAATAAATAAGGTATCACAATTTTGGCAGCAGTCACATATTCGAAGATCTTGTGGGTTTTAAGGTGTATGAGTGAGTCCCCTTAAATTTCCAAAACAGTGCTTTATCGCCAAATGTGATTAGATTTGTATATATTCAGTTTTTTTTTTTTTTCTCATGGCTTTGGAATCCAATTTTGTAATTTATCATCTCCTCCTTACTGCATGCCTTTGTGTGCAACTGAACCATGTCCAGCTAGCAACGGAAGTTCTAGTGTTCAAATCCGAACGAAGATATTGCACCCTTTTGTATGCTCTTTGCTTAGACAAATCTAATGACTCTACTGCAACGGCGCCCGAACTAAAGAGCATTGCACGACACTTGGTCATCACCAGATTTGTCTATGGATCTACGCTTCCCCAAAAGCTACTAAAGTGGGGGCGACTGTAAGGTAATTTTCCCTTCCTTACAGCGTGCCTTCGTATTGTAATTGAAAGCACTTCCGGCTAACAATCGGGAGGTCCAGAGTTTGAATCTCGTTGAAGATAGAGCTGATTTTTCTCGCGTTTCCTGTCTTTGAAACTTTATGAATGATTCTACACGTGGTGAATAAACACACATGTTGTGAGTTCAGCATCTCCAGGATTTAGTGATGATTTCTATTGCCACAGGGGCGGACAATGTAAGGTATTTTCTTTCTCCTTACCGTATGTTTACGTGGTATAAATAGAAGTATGCCCAGCTTGCGTCGATCCCGGCGACGGCATTGCACATAATTCGCCTTTCTTGCTTCGACAAACTTAATGATACTAAATTTTTTAAAAATACAAAATGACATTGATGATGTCCAAAAGCATTTGCATTGATGACCAAAAGCATTTGCATTTTTTTGTGTAGTGTTCTATTTCCAATAACTTCAATGCTTTTTCGAAAACTGTTCCTCAGTTTATTAACAAAACTGGAATCTGCGAATACTTGAATTGTAAAATGTGTTTTTAAGGAGAAGGATTGCAATTTATTCTACAAGCTGGGGAGAAAATTTTAAAATTAAATGCTAAATTTCTATAATTGAAATACAGGTTTGGTTTGGTTTGCGTTGTAGACACATGATGAGTTTTGGAAGCAGGAGGCTTAAAAAATGAGCAATGCTCCTGCCGGGAATCGAACCACGGACCTTTCGAATACGCCCCGAGCGTGCAGACCATTATACCACGAAGGCACGCTAAGAGGGCGGGAGAAATACTCCTCCTTTTAAAGAGTGACTGGGTATTAGGGGACCCAATCGCCAAATCCCGGTGGTGGAGAATCATCGTCCACCACCTTTTTACTTCCTTGTACGAAGTAAAAAGGAAGTATTGTAATCGCGAAAAGTTTCAGGCAGCATATTTCAATGAAATTATCCATTTTGACTGCTATTGAATGCAATTAAACGATGTTTTTGCGTGATATCTGTACGTAAGGACAGAATAAAAGACTCGTTTCCTCCAAAAAAATTATAAAACTGCTTTAAAATGAATTCTGAAGAGAATTTTTCGTGCCGTCTGTACGAACGTACGTATCTCACATAACTCGAAAACGAGTAGCCTCAGAACGTTGAAATTTTGTATATAGGACAGCCATAACATGTAGATGTGCACTTCGTATTTTGGTTGCAATCGGCCGCACCAAACGTATATAAATACTATATTTATATATATATCCACTCTGTTACTCAACAAAGTGATCTCAGTTTCTTTACTCTTATCTGTTTGTAAATTGTACATTTTTTGCTTTAAAAATGATTGAATTATGTTGTTCTTATCTTCCGGTTAAAGTTTTTATGCCTTTCGTAATTCTGGAAGCAATATTTGTACAATTATCAACAATTTAAAAGCTGTTTAAGTGCGGTTAAGTTTTAAATAACATGGCGGACATATTTGTTTACATTTGAAACAGCAGAA